TAGCGGAAACGATGTGTACATTATATAATCTGCCCTGCTGTTTCTCTCTACTACCTACTCTGCCCTAATATACTCCGTTGTTATGTCAGGTTGGCCTAGCAGGAGTTAGCGGAGTCGCCTTAAACTTTCATTCCATTTTATTTCATTCGAAGTAATGTGATGAATTGAATGAAAAGAGATAAATACAAACCTTTTCCGTTTTTGTGACTTGTCGTCTACCTATCCATCAGACTGGCATTCTAATCACCAATCAGTCACCAGAAGTTAAATCTTTAGTATGATTTTCGGTATATTTTTTTTGGATACTCACGGTACTTCTGGTACCGTTGATGTCAATTACGGTATTTAGCAACAATAGCAGTGAACTAACCGTTGACTTCCAAAAGTGTTAGTTGAACACGAGATACCTCAGTAGTTAAGGCGCGAACGTACTGAAGGAAAGCCAGTGGTCTCGACCTGACCTCTGAATCTTGACTATCCCTACATGGGATTGGGAAACCTAGCAGAATCTGGGCCCTCGAGCTTCCATCGTGTGGCATGGCAGCTTGGCAGTGAAATATTATTATCGCTGGACGATTTGTTCTAATTTTAAAATTGGAATGGCCGGCAATAGTTAGCGTGGCGTGAGCCGATATTTTTAATCCGACAACTGGGAGTCCATGGAACACCTTTATCCAGCACAGTAAATTTATACAGCCTTCCTAATGAAGGTGACTCTTACTCAACAAAATGTCGAATTAAAAACAGCTGTCTAATTCTTAGTTCCTTTTGCCAGATGTTCTTTCACGGGTGACCTAAAGATGGCACTCACTTTTTCGAGTGCCATTTGAGCCGGAAATCGCAACCCATTCAAATGCTTTGAGCGCCATTCAATAGGTCCTAATATACGGGCTTGGAAATTTGGGTCAGCGACTTAAGTATCTTAAACACGATTGATAAACTTTCAAGCACAGCGTAGAACGAGGCTAGGTTCGCACATGGCGAAGGCGAAGTATGTATTCCAAACTTGCTGATGGTTTCTTGAATCCAACGAGTGTCGCTTAACGGAATAAGGTGAGTTAGTCTCAAAATATATGGACCCCTAATAGGTCTTGATTTTCTGGGAGATATTTGGCGACATAAGATTCATAAAAAGATATAGTTTACAAGTCACAATACGATGTATTGAAATTCAAAAACAAACTAACTTGAGTACCGTAGAGTTAATTGTGCTAGATTCCGACTTCACTCCGGAGGATAGTTATTAGTCAAGGTAGCTATGCTTTTTCGTTGTTGTTACCTTGAGCGAGTAAATTTCAATCAAATGTATGTCGTCAATTTTACTGCTATATACACTCCCAACTGCGCAGATACCTCGGGACGGTCTCAAGTAAAACGGAACAGGGACCGCCAAATCAGAGTCCATATAAATCGATTTCTGTTCCGGTTAAAAAGGTTGAATATCGAACATGCAATTTGTTTTATGACAGGCAGGTCATGGTGTCAACACCTGCAAGGAGATCGCGTCTTGCTTGGTATTCGCTGAATATTTAATTGCGCCTACATCTATTAAATTTTTATTTACCTAAAGCAATTTGTCACAGCTGGCGGGCATCAGACTCGAGCATCTGGGTCAAGAGAATCACCTTGCAAAACATGTACTTTTGATGATCTGTGAATCCCCTGAATGCACACTCAGCGGTTTGACATTCCCTTAAATTATGGTCCGCTGTATCCGACGTCGTCGGTGGCAGAATAACTGGTTGACAAGGTCCTTGTTCTCCAGTCATGCCCTTCATTCTTCAAAGACTAGATGCTTTTCGGATTTCCGTTTAGTTTCTACTTTCGTATTTTTGAATACAAGTTGATCTCGCTAAGCTTCAGTGTGCCTAAAGTTTTATGGCATGCTGTCGTAGTATTCTGGCGGTCATCTCCGAAACGTTTTTTATATATGGTAGTGTAATTATTTTGCCTGTGTTTCCGGGTGTCAAGTTAGTTGAGTTGTATTTTCTCAGAGATCTTCAGACAACACTTCTTGGGTAACAGTTCCTTCGAACAACAACAACCGGAAACACAAGCAAAATAATCACACTACCATACATCAAAAACATTTCGGGAATGACCGCCAGAATACTACGAAAGCATGCCATAAAAGTTGACCACAGACCGACTGACACGCTGCAAAGAGCACTATCAAAGGCAAAGAGGATACTTGATGCAATGGAGAAGACAAATGTAATCTACAAAATTGAATGAAACGACTGTGCAAGAAACTACGTGAGACAGACAAGGAGGAAACTGTCAACCACAATCAACGAACGCAAGCTCGCCACTAGGAGGCACGATCAACTCTCTACCATCTCTGCACACAAAGATGGAGAAGGACACAAATTCATTTGGAATAACGTCAGCATACTGGGCCAGGTAAGAACAAAGAAAGAACGGGAGTTCATGGAGGCATGGTACTCTACTGATGGAGCAATAGACAGACGCATGGAGATTGATCCTGCCTATCAGCCTCTAAGGACAAAGGAAATCCAGAACCACAAAATCCGAGGCCGAACAAGGACTCAAAGAAATCAATATTACAACCACCTACCAAAAATAGGAAGTACACCACAAACGAACAGAGAGGCCTACCACGACGCAATACAGATAAAGAACGGGCCAACCGAAAGAGACAACAATGAACGGCAATTTCAACAGTAACGTAGCCGTAGAAAGCAAGAAATACAAACCACAACTTGAAACAGATTAAGACCGGACCAACCAGAATCCATGTTACAACGCAAAGGCTTCTCTATGTAAACTATATAAACACAGACACGAAGAGAGGGACTGTCCAACCAAAAGCGCACTGAAGATGTCTCCTCGAATGGTGGCGAAACGTGTGCAAATCAATTGCCAAGCTCGGCGAACAGATCAACAGCCATCTGATCAATTACCGACTATAGCTCTGTTTTTGCCACGCGTCAGCCTAGTCTGATTTTTCCCTGGTCATTATCTACCTGCATGATTTTGTGTCACTGTTATGTTAAGATCGCTCCACCAGATGCTGCCTGAAGCCGGCGGCATTTAAATTAAAGTTCTATGAACAGAACAGGCGTTATGGTAGTGAAAATTTCGGCGGCAATTTAGTTGAGTTGAAAATGGCCCCTTTATATTCATATGCCTCTAGTACATATCTTTTTTGGTCTATTATGCTTGACCGTACTCATCACCTTTTACTCCCATTCCATCTGATCCTCAACATCTAAATTTGTCCGCTCTTGGACCACTTTTATTTCTAACGAGATATATTAGTGAATCACGAGGAAGCAGTGTATGCAGGTGCGCAGCAGTTAGAATAACAACCTACGACTCTTACAACGATTGGTATAATTAGCTCACAAGGACAACACATAGATGGACGGCAAACAAGCAAAGGCAAATCAACAAACCAAATTGAGGTTAACCACGTAAATATCATGTTGAACCAAAAAGCCAAACAACAGAATCGCGAATCATATTCAATTAGGAGATCTATAAAATTCCCTGATATTGTTATGAAAAATATTTTGAACTCACCAGCATTTATACATACAAATACTTTGAGTATACCAGTGGAAAATAACGTTTCAACTCTTGTGGCAAACGCGACTTGGTTGCAAGGTCTAGTAAGTGTGTCCACAACTTCATCTCTGTTTCACACCAGGGTTCCATTTCGACCCACATATGACAAGCAAGTAACAATGAACGACACGGACGAACTCCTCAATCGACGTTTTAGTTTTCTGACAAGATCCGGTTTAAACAGTTGTGCGTTAAAGCGATTAATATTTGGAGATTTTCCCAAGCAGATTATTCCTGTAAAATGTGAGAAGGGACTACTAATCAGGAGAACAGGTTGCGTACATGCTCAGAGTCTCGAAAAAATGTGGTACGCTGGGTTCCTAAGAACGGCTAACACTCCAGTCTTCAATGTATACTGAATAGAGATTGTCAACCTGTTCAACGATGTGCAGCTCCATTGACTACTGAAATCTACCAGTCGATGTGTCAACAAGGCGTGGGTAGTAATAGATTCCAATATGCACTGATTCTAAAATCCACCGCGGTAAGTAAAAAAGCAACCTATGCGAAACATCACATCCTTTTGCACCACATCATCTAGCTCCACTGTTAGTATCATTCGGCAAGTTTATGCGGCAGCTTCGGCAACTAACAGAAGCCGGCATTAAAGCCCCTTATGCAGAAGGAACTCTGAGCACATTGTATCCAGCTTAAAGAACTTAATATTGGCCATGGGAAACGGGAACGGACAACAATAATCGATCCATCTCGTGTGGAAGCAGATATGGTTCGCTCGCAATAGATCACATGCTACCCATATATTACTTCCTGCAGAGTGAGCGACACAGGCCAAAGGGCGGTAAAAAAAAACTTGGAAGACCCCAGTTCATGGAATCACGACCGTCAATGAGTTTCGTCAATGAAAGTCAACATGTGAAGTCGCATGGTGCTCAAAGGCACCCACAGAAGAAACATTCAAAACAATGCACAAAACCTCCGCTGTGCTAACTCACACTGGTGGTCCGCACTCTTATCCGTCTAAAATCGAAACCAAAAGGGGTAAACGAGGCGGTATTCTAGCTGAAACAATCTAGTTATCACAGCTGTCAGGCAATGATATGCACTGGTGATTGTTCTTTCCACTGGGCTGGGTAATTTGGTCACAAATGTTTCGTTACCAACCAAAGTAACGTCATTGCATAATACTTTGGCGGTGAGCTACACTACGTCCCTGTTTAGGTGTTGTGTAGTGCAGGGCGTTTGTCTTATACCTATATGTGATCTGTTGAGATTTGGGGTGACCTCCGATTGTGAGCGCTCTTCCACTTAACCACGAGGTTCCAACACTCGCTTCCATGAAACACAAAATTTTTGAAACATCGGTACCTTTTATCCTTGAAACTGAGGTGAGACGCCATAAACATTCCCCTATTCTCAACAATCCTCATGTGAACATAACGCGGACTTACGGGAACGTCGACTTCGCTGATCGTGTCATCCTCCAACAATCTGACTGTGACAGCAAAGCAGTCTTCTGTGTGAATATGCCTGTGATCTTTGAGCTTCGGATTCATAGGTTATCTTGTGCTATGGCGAGTTCTCACATTACACCGGAAAGTTCAGGCAACAGATGTTTTTAATTTACGGGTCGAATATTTTGACACCAATAAAGTATTTAAACAAAGTCATTGAAATCGGCTGCCTGCATTTTCTTGAGGTCCGACGGCCCACAAGTGATCACATTCCATCAGTCGCGTCACAACCCAATGGACGCAATGACCTAATGCTCTTCGAATCGAGCTCAGTTGACGAAGCCATCTAGCGAATCATTAACACTATCGAATTCACGGATTGATACAGAGGGTTGAGGCATTTGCCCAAGTTTTTGGGTTGGTTTTGTTCTTGTCGGTCAGTGGCTGTCGTTCACCTGAAAGGCACAAGTGGAAAAAGGTGTAGCACTGCTCTTTATGTTCTCAGCGCGGTGCAGTATGCTTCCCAACGCGAGGATTTGCACAGACAAATGTCTAGTAGTGCTTCAAACTGGGTTCTGGAAGGAATATGGTCAACCGTCGGAGGAAGGTCATTCCACGCACCTACTACCCGAAATGAGAAAAAATTTTGTTCAATGAATGTGTGCGTTCTGACTTTGGAAATCTTCTTACTATGCCCCCGCCGTGTGTTTGTTGGGTCAACGGTGAAAAACCTAGTGGTCAATCTTTGTTCTAACAGGACATAAGCGAGAATTAGGTCCCCTCGGTGGCGACGATACCCCAGGGGAAATAGGTCAAGCATCGCGAGACGGGTTTTCTAGTCCACGGGTTTTAGGCCAACAACCATTCTTTTAGCGGCTCGCTGGACTCGCTCAATAAGGATGATGTCTTTCGAGCGTCCTGAGTGGACAACTTGGTTGGCGTATTCAAGGAACTATCTGACGCAGGCCCAATATAGTATTTGGAAGTCCATGCGAGTGACACGGGAGAAGGTGCGTCGGATCATCCGTAAAATGTTGAATGCCTTTTAGGCCGATTTCTTATGGTTCACTGAGAAGGGCATGTTTTCTGGTCCTTTCTCACCGTGCATAACGAAGGCATTCGCTGGGTCTCCTCCAAACGACATATGGACGCACTTTTCGTCATTCAGAGGAAGGTGCTAGTCCAACGACCACTGCTCGTTGACGTAGATCAGAAACAGGGGTGGTCCCAAGACGGAGCCTTGAGAAAATCCAATGGAGATCGGCGCTGGAGAGGAATAGGGTGAGCCTATTCTCACTCGGAATGATCTGTCTGATAGAAACGCCTTGATCCAGCGAAAGATTTTCCCCTGAATCCCATAAGACTCGAGTCTTTGGAGCAGCGGGACGTGTGGGACCCTATCAAATGCTTTTGAGAAGTCGAAAAATATTGCATCCGAAATGAGTCATTCGTCCTTGGCTTGGATTAAGCTGTTCGCAAGCACGAGCATGTGTGTCACACTAGAACGTTTTGGGAGAAATCCGTGTTGAGCTGGAGATATGAGGTTCCTGGAAGTTAGGTTATCTAGGATAGCTTGCTTCAGAAAGCTTTCTATCACCTTGCACGCACGCTGGTAAGGCTTATAGGCCAGCAGCTGCAAGGCAATAGTCGGTCACCGGTTTTGTAGATTGATGTGACAATCGATTCCTTCCTAGCAGAGAGAAGGCGGCCTTCGTCAAGCGACCGACGAAACACCAGGTATAAATGATTTGCCAGTGTAGACTACGTTTCCTTCATGATCCTTGGACGAACCTCGTAGGACCCCAACGCGCAAAATGCGTTGATCTTGTGCAAGAGCTGACGAATGTCCTCCACCGTGAAGACCAAGTCGGTTAGATGCTGTTCGTAGTTACGTCTTGACAAGAATGGATGTGACGAGGAAGCTAAGGCTGAATGTAGGACTGCATAGTGTTCCCTGTAAACGTCAGGCACTACTTTTGGGTCACTCCTGGATTCTCCGTTCCTGTCTCTCAAAAAGAGCGCGGATGGCTCGTTTCTAATGTCTAATGTATTTGAACAATACCCTTTTGTTTATCCGAGCGACGTCTAGGATGGTGACTTGTTTCCGTGTGTTCCATTGGCGGATTTCCGATTTACAACGTTCCGCATTTTACGAAATGCCACCTCATAATCTGTATCCACTGTAGTTGACTGTTTGAAAAAGGGTTGGGACTTTTTTTCCAGCAGTCGCCGAATCCTTTTTGGCAGCCTCCGGCTCATCCAATTGCGTGCTGGTTTTTTGGACGAACATCGCCTAAGCCTTGTGAACTCTCTGGACAATGGTCTTATGTATTTCTTCCACTGGAGCTGGTCGCCGTGTAACTTGTTCAAGAAAGATGCGCATTTCTGAGGAGTCTGCGCTGCAGAAGTCTCGTAACCACATTTGTGGTTCGGGATTTCTGGCCCAATAGCAAGAAATCGAAGCAGCAGTCGCCGAATCCTTTTTGGCAGCCTCCGGCTCATCCAATTGCGTGCTGGTTTTTTGGACGAACATCGCCTAAGCCTTGTGAACTCTCTGGACAATGGTCTTATGTATTTCTTCCACTGGAGCTGGTCGCCGTGTAACTTGTTCAAGAAAGATGCGCATTTCTGAGGAGTCTGCGCTGCAGAAGTCTCGTAACCACATTTGTGGTTCGGGATTTCTGGCCCAATAGCAATGAAATCGAAGCTCAGCACCCAGTGGTCGCTCTGCCCCAGTGGAGCGTTTACTGTTACTTGGTCAACGAAGTGTCAGGTCACATGCAATTTTCTCCAAAACCGTGATTGGTAGGTAATCAGCTTTTGCTATAAAACGTGGCCGTTCTAGGTATATATTCTCAAATTAAAATGCCTATAATCCGCCGCAATTTTCGGTGTATTTCAGTTTTTAACCGGTAAGTGTGTCGCTCAAATCAAAAGGGAATTTTTTTTAGAAAATTAGTTGCTATACGGTTCTGAACAGGGAGGTATGCTAGAATGTGTAAGAAGCTCTTTGTATGAGTTTGTTATGATTTATACATAAGGCCCCAGGGCCAAGCGGTACGCATAACACCGGTTGCCCAATTCCATATTGTTAAGGAATGTTCAGCACCCCACATTATCGTGTCCACACATATGAGATGGTCACTTTATGAGTGACCCGCTGTCCTTCATCCGACGTCTAACCGGGGGGCGGTCAGACACATGCGGTGGTTTGCCGAAATACGGAAGGCCTCCATTCGAAATGCTGCAGTTTGAAACTGACGAGTTTAGAAATGTCCTTACTACTCAAGAGATACATAAATGCCGCCGTAACTGTTCAGCTGCTTTGTTGACCGCGTAACCGATGGTTTGGATGCATTTTGACGGATGATATGTTCTGTGTCCTGAAAGAGCCTCGCGATTCCGGATGCGCACTTTCGTTTCAGTGAGGATATCTTACAGGCGACATGTGTACTCAGTTAGAAGACGCTAGGTTATTTTGTTCTGACGATCCCAAGAATTCAATACGTTTGTTTGGCTCACATGGATAACGAATTTTTAATCTCTTCGAATAACTCATATACTGCGAAGAAGCACGACTGAGACGCCTCCCTGATCTCAGATATCATAAGAACCGTGGGTCCGGTGCCGTGTTTCTGAGTAAAGTGGCGGGAATCGGCTGTCGTGCGAACATTATTTAGAACGAGCTTAAGAACCTGGCTACCGAGACGTTCCAAGTACGGCCTTTAACTTTAAATATTTTGGCCTCGCGAATATGAACAGCCTGAATTGTGTCTGGCTGTGAATTTATGTTTTCGCTCATCAGGCCATTAATGATGGAGTCGCATATCGCTGGCATCATTTACGGCCACTTTCCTAACAGCCGTCGAACGTTCTCTCGCACGGTTCGCCTGGACAAAGCCGATACCATTGGTTTCCATTATATTCCCTTAATAGCAAAGATAGTCCGTAACGAGTTGGATATAGTGCACCGCGCACAGCCACCATTCCTCTCCTTACTCGTGACATATCGTCCACATCATGTTCGCCCATGCACACTCCATGATGGTCCACAGTGCATGGCTGGCAATCGTCCGGAGCGGCTGCCTGAAAAGGTGACTGCATTAATCTGACGGTCTCCGACGCGTCATGCAGAATATGTCCTGGCAAACTGACTGCGGGTATATGTGACCAGAAGGAAATCTCGTCAGCGGTGGTTGCGTTCCAACCCGGGTCTTCCGGATGACTATGAGTGCATCTTCCCTCAAGGTACTTTATATCACGAAACGACGGACCCTCCTTGTTGCATCGTATTAGAAATATGGTGCATATCATGAGTTGACTGTAAACCATGGACCCTGAGCTTTATATCAGTTTTCCAAAAGGCTTGGTTTGTTTAACTGTATGAGAGGAGCAACGCACATTTCGCACTCTTCACAGGGGAGAGACAGTTTACTTATTTTGAGATTTTCCCTCGACGCATTATGCGGTTTGTTTTTCAGCAGTGTTCTTAGCAGTGTACAGCTGCAACACCGAATCGTACGCCAGCTACCCGGTCCCGGCTTTTAACTGCCTATTGTTTGAGGCCACTGATGAACCACGAATTTCCTACTAGTAAGTGCGATCCAAGTTTCCAGGTCGGTATCAGTCGGTTTGCCTAAAACTTCGATCAACAAAAAAGGTTGATGTATAAATCGTGACTATCACAGAGATCCGTTGACGGCTGCTGGTTTCACTTCTTTGAGACAGCCACCGCAGCCTACGATGCCCAGCACTCCCTCGCAACAGTCTATTTGGATACCCGAAAAGCTTTTGACAAGGGCCGTTGTGCATCCCGGCTGGGAAAAATTAGTTCTTTTGGCATCACGGGATCCTTATCTCAGCGGTTCACGTCCTACCTATCCAATAGGGCACAGATTACGCATATTAGCGTCATACCCACTACCGAAAACCAGTGGAATCATTCAGAGGAGCGTACTAGACAACATCATCTTCCTACCATATATCAACGACGTCATTGGTACCATATCAAGTGGTAAAATATTCCTTTTTGCGGACGATATAAAAATCACCTACACATTTCCTCTATCTTCTAAAATCCTTGTCTTTTGCCAGATCCAGCAAGAATTGGACTCTCTGGCTCGCTGGTTAAGTGCTTATAGACTAAGTTTCTCTTCTTCCAAATCCCATACAACTTCCTTTTGTTT